CTCTGAAGACAGAAGCTAGCTGATATTTGGTCGTTCGTCCTGACACGTGCTGTTGGTGAACTGTATAATGTTTGTAGCCAGTTTATGAAGAAGTTCCCAAACCCAAATTTATGTAAAGTTGCAAATAAGAACTTCCAGTTAACTCTATCAAAAGCTTTTTCTGCATCTAGAGATAATATACTAGTTTCTATGTTTCTACTGTAAGAGAAATCTATCAAATTAAGTAATCTACGTGAGTTTGTGGATGACTGTCTACCCTTAATGAAACCAGTTTGGTCAGGGTGTATTATGAAGGGGGTTACCTTCTCTAATCTTTTGGCCAGGGCTTTACAAATTATTTTGAGATCAACATTAATAAGAGAAATTGGGCGATAGCTGGTAGGAAATGCCGGGTCTTTGCCTGGTTTTAACAAGAGACTAATATTGGCTGAATTCATGTTTGGCTGTAATCTGCCGCTCTCTTCGATTTCCCTCACCATTCTGAAAAATGTTGGAGCCAGAATGATCCAGAATTCTTTGTAGAATTCTACTGGGAACCCGTCTGGACCTGGAGCTTTCCTATTAGTCATGGATTTAAGGGCTTCCTGGAGCTCCGCTGATGTTAGTGGCGAGTCCAGGACTGTAACTTGGCTGTCTGATAATTTAGGAAGTGTTATCCTGTCAAGGAACTCATTGATCTCATTATCTGATGGGTTTATCTGTGGTGAGTACAAAGTTTGGTAAAAGTCTCTGAAGGTGTTGTTTATTCTTTCAGGATCATATACTATATTCCCGGTTGAGTCTTTAACAGCAGATATGGTAGTTTTCTCTTTATTTATTTTTAATTGGCTAGCTAAGAATTTACCTGATTTATTACTATGTTCAAAGTTTTCTATTCGTAGTCTTTGTGCTAAAAATTGTGTCTTTTTGTCAATAATTCCATGAAGTTCTAATTTAGCTTTACGTAATTTGCTCATTGACTCTTCTTCTGTGGACGCCTCTAAAGACTTGATGATTCCTTCTAACTCCTGAATACGTTTGTTTTCTGTTTTTTTCTTATGTGATGAGAAAGAGATTATTTTACCTCTCATCAGTGCCTTTCCTGCCTCCCAAAGAATAGATGCTGATGTTCCAGGCAGGTCATTATGTTCTAAATATAAAGCCCACTCCTTTTTAAAAAATTCTATAAAACTTTCGTCTTTAAGCAGTGATGTATTAAACCTCCAGTTTTTGCTTGGTGGGATTGTCTTTTTATTTACCAGAGTTAAAGAAACCGGAGCATGGTCGCTGACAGCTATGGGGTGTATCTCAGTGTCTGAAATGTCAGCCAACAATGAGCTGCTGACTAGAAAATAATCCAAACGTGAATGAGAGTCATGGACGTGCGAAAAAAAAGTATATTCTCTACGGTTAGGATGAAGAGATCGCCATGCATCACAAAGCCCATAATCACTCATGTACTGTTTAACTATGTTAGTGGATTGCCAATTGCGCTGAGTCCCAGCTGTACTGAGCCAGTCTGTTAAGGAATTCATCCAAAAATTAAAATCACCTCCAAGTATAAGTGGACAGTCCAAGTGTTCGGAGAGTACAGAGAAAAAATTATGAAAGAATGGAGGGTCATCAATATTTGGACAGTATATGCTGACGATACATAAGCGCTGGTTCTGTATAGATATTTTTAACATTATAAATCTACCCTCTGGATCAGAAACTGTGTCCAATACTGTGAAATTTATGTTTTTGTGTATTAAAATAGCTACACCTCTTTGCCTAGAGTTATAGCAGGCAGAGAACATGCTGGGAAACTCAGGTGTTTTAAGTTCATCTGCAGATGTGGCAGATCTATGAGTCTCTTGTAACAATATTACGTCTGCTTGCACTCTCTTTAACTGATCAAAAATTTTTAATCTCTTCTCTCTAGAGCCAGCCCCATGTACGTTCCATGAAACAAACCTTAGTGCACCCATAGATGTGTGTGTGAGTAGCTATAATATGACGCCTTCATGTGTATGAGATAAGATAAGTAATTAAACGCATACATTAATCTTATAGTAAATAATAATAATAAGGGTGTTGTTATAATCATTATTATCATTTGCAACATTAAATATAATAATAGTAGTAAAAAAACAATAATAAAAAAAACAACTTTAATATAAAAATATTAATGCTGATGATGATAACGTAAAATATATAATAAAAAAACAATAGTAGTAATAATAATAATAATAACAACAACAACAACAACAACAACAACAACAACAAGACAAGCCCAACAGTGTTTTGATTGTGCAATGAAACGCCATAGGCTACTTATCTGTGTGACTGCGTATGGAATCTGTGTGTGTGTGTGTGTGTGTGTGTGTGTGTGTGTGTGTGTGTGTGTGTGTGAGACTGCGTATGGAGTCTGTGTGTGTGTGTGTGTGTGTGTATGTGTGTATATGTGTGCGTGTGTGTGTGTGTGTGTGTGTGTGTGTGTGTGTGTGTGTGTGTGTGTGTGTGGGGTGTGTGTGTGTGTGTGTGTGCCCGCGCAAGTTGTGTGCTGCAGTGTGCAAAGGGAAAAAAAAATTGTGCCATGCAGATGTAAAAATCCAGAAGCAGATTAAAAAAAGGGAAAGAAAGGAATGATAAAGGTTTAAAAGAGAAAAAAAGAAGAAAGAAAAGAAAAAGTGTTGTGGGTGTGAGGTGGTGAGGGAATAGGTGAACATTTCTAAACGGATCTAGCAGCTATTAATCCTGACATGTTCAAGTGCTTTTAATAATAATAAATTTGTACCTGAAGTTCGTCTAATAAAGCCAGTCTGTTACTCCTCGTTCTTTGTAGATCTTACCGTCAACAAACAGTTTATCCACGGAGATCACAGCCCGCTTCCCATCTTGGATAAACTTCTTGCGCAGCGGGAAGAGAACTCGGCGGCGATCCAGAATTTCTTTAGGAAACTGGTCGTTTACGCTGTAGTCTTTACTTTAAGCTCTCTCCCGCGGCTTTTAACAAGATCTTTCTGCTTAAAGTGCTCAAATTTAGCCACGATGGGACGAGGTCTTCTGCTGTCTGTTCTCCTGGCTCCAAGGCGATGTACCCGATGAAAGGTGATGTTCCTCACCGTTTCCTCAGGTATCTTCATGTGAGTGTGGAGAAAGTTCTTGATGGTTTGTTCACAATCCTCCGCTTCTCCTCCGGTCTGCTCTGGGAGGCCTGCGAACACCAGGTTATCTCTCATGCTGCGTGATTGGAGATCCAGAACCGTCTCCTTTAGAGCTTTATTGTCCTGGGAGATCCGATCTAATCCTGCAGTTAAGGAGGAAACCGATTCCCGCAGAGACGCGTTCTCAGCCGCGAGCCGCTCCACCTGCTCCTGGCTAAACTCCAGAGATGTTCGGAGGTCCTGGAACTCCTTGTGAAGCACCTCAAGCAGGTGGAGTCGTCCCTCAAATCCCAGAAGCCGTTTATCTATGGACTGTAGTAGATCTAAGACATCCTTGTGGGGAGATGAGGCCTCGGGCGAGTCCCGGGGACGGCTCCTCTTGGTCAACGGCGTTTCCGCCTCAGCTGCTGCTGCTTTCTTCGGTCCCATGACAAAAAACTCAAAAACCTCGTCAATATATGTTTGCAAATTTTCCAGATTTTCTCCTCTTACCTCCAGGTTGAGTGAGTTATATTTACCAGATTTGTTAATTTTTTTGCGTTGTCAGTGAGTAAATTAGGCGAAAATCTGTCTTAATTGTTTGTGGAAGTTGATTAACAAGCTGCCATCTGCTTCAAGACGCCGCCGTGTGTCCGGTGATCGGGCCGTCAGCGCATGCGCATGCTCCCTCTCCAAGCCCCTGCTCCCTCTCCCTGCTCTCCCAGACCATCTTCCTTTTCTATTTTCAAGAAACTCCTGAAGACCCTGCTCTCCAGAGAGCATCTTCTTAACTAGCACCCTCCCTGCACCCCTCCCCCCTCTCCACTGTCCACTCCTTTGTTCCCTCCTTTCCATGATTGATGCCAAGTTGTTGTTGTTGTTATTGTTGTTGTTAGACTCAAGGGCAACATGCCGATTATCACTTTTAAGTCGCTTTGGACAAAAGTGTCTGCTAAATACATAAACATAAACATTTAGTGTTGACCATGGTGTGAAATGCTGTGGTTATGTCTGAGAAGCAGTGATAAAAATCTACTCGAGTTCAAAACCTTTATAGAATGTGTTTGAGTCATTTATAAATGTTGATACTAATGTAAAATATCTGTGGTAACTGAAACCGTGGTCGGACTAGAATCATACGACCAACATTTGTAATGAACGCAGCAGCCTGCTGCCACAGGAACCCTAATCCAACACAGAGCGGAGGCGTTATGACTCAGGGAGGATTTCAGAGAAACCAGACTTTGTTTTCTAGGAAACAGGACAAGCTGAAACAGGAACAGAGAGAGAGAGAGAGACCCCCTAAGGAAAACTCCAGAATTCCTCACCACAATAATAAAAACTATAAGATCCATGCCGTAGGTTTTAAAACAAAGACATGAGGAAAAACTTTTTACACTTTCACACAGAAACACTTTGCACTGCAAATTTCATCTAAAGCTTTAAAGAGAAAACAGTAATTCTAAAGGTTTCACAGTTAACACTGGTTCTCTTTCTCACCGAGCAAAAGATGTATGTGAGGTCCAGTGAAAAAGCTTCAGTTATATTATTCTACAAGACAAAAATCGCATGAGGTGATCTGTATGCTACACAGAAACAAGTTAGCACAAAAATGGCGGTGATCTTGAACGCTGCTCAGTTTTATGGCTTTTTTCCAGACACTGAACCAGGAAATGGCTGCAGGTGGCTCTGAACAGTGAGTGATACCACCACTCTAGTCGTGATGCTGGCCCAGGTCAGCATGCTAGGAACCACAACAAGGAACCACAACAAAGCAGGGACTGAAAAGTAGAGGGAATATACCAAACCGTGCTGTTGGGAAATGCAACCAGTCCAAACTGCACCTACACAAGTCACGCTCAGTAGTGCTGTTGGAAAAGGGCTAGAACCTACCCTCCATCCTCTGTCTGTTTATGGACGAAGGCCAGTATGTCCGCAGCACGGCCAGTCCCCTCACATACCACCACTGGGACAGGGGGACTCTCCTGAAGGTACTCCAGCACCGTCAGGATCACGTTAGGCCCCCCCTCCAAGATCAGCGCCACAACAGGAACTCCCTGACCGATTCCTACAGGAAAAAAACAACAACACAAAAACAGCCTTTTCAGAATGTTTCTCCAACTGGAATCTGTTGGGCGGCCATGTATTTTTTCTAAATGCAGCTGCACATGACTCAAGTGTGTGAGAGGCTGAGGTGATGACAACAATCTCACTGCTATCACACACTTTCCACCAAGCAAAGGCAAGCTGCCAGTAAAACAAACGATAATTAATTGTCCTTGAGGGGATTCCAACCTTTGTGATTACTGGTAGCGGTCAATAGTTAATGTCTCAGAGAAGTCAGCTGACTCTTTAGAGCAGCTGTTCCCAAACTTATTTAGCTGTGCACGCTCTTCTATGTCCATGTTGATGCACCCCCATCCCCCACAACTTCAAAAGCTTTGAAAGGCAGATGACATTTATATATTTTAAAGATGGCATATTTAATCTTTTTCAAATGAAAAAACAAACCCACATCTAATAAAATGATCACGATTACAACAATGCACTTTTTCAATTAATCTGAAATACTGTTACTAAGTTATAGCCTGGCCTACCAGACTCATCCTCTGTTTAATTCTACATAGAGAACTAGTCTGGTTACTCACAGGCAGAGAGGCCCACGAGTGGCGGGACTAACCAGCTCAAAAATAACCAATCAGAAAAAGGAAGGAAATGCCGACTTTACCGCGCGACACTGTAGTTTTATAGCTGTAGTCAAAAATGGAGTCTGGCGATGGTGCAGACATCTTTTTATCGAAGAAAGGCTCATTTAGAACACAGAGAAGAGCCTTCAGATAACATCTTTGTTGTTTATGAGAAAATGAGCATTACAGTATGTGACATATGCTGCTCGGCGCTGGTTGGCTCACTTATAATTCTCAGGGGGTGGGGTTATTTGAGTAGAAGAGTTCCCAGCCCCAATACTTCCTGTAAGGAATGATAAATGAAAAATGATCCGCACTTGTGTAGCGCCTCTCAAAGCAAGGACTCCAAAGTGCTTTACACTACAGTGTATCATTCATCCATTCACACACAGATTCACACACTGATGGTGATGACCTACGATGTAGCCACAGCTGCCCTGGGGCGCGCCAACACAGGCGCCACTGGTCCCTCCGACCACCACCAGCAGGCAAGGTGGGTTAAGTGTCTTGCCCAAGGACACAACAGCAGAATTGTCTGTCCGGAGCCGGGATCGAACCTGCAACCTTCCGATTACTGGACAACTCGCTCAACCTGCTGAGCTGCTGCTGCCCCGAAAGGAAGCGTGAGGCTGGCTGGTCAGGCTAACAGAGTCATTCAAAAGCTTCTACTTTTAAGAGCAAAGAAGAGCTTCATTAATCGAACTGTGTCTGCCGAACTGTATGGTGCTAAATGCGCCAAGGATATCAGGCTGAGGCAGGGGGTTACTGACGAAATATCTTTCAAATGTACCAGTGAAACCCCTTCCTGGTTTGCTGGCTCCCTCCAGCTTTGAAGTTTCCCTTTTTGAGCTGGGTTACTCCCCATGTATCCTTTTTGTTTTATGCTATCGGCCACCAGTGTAACAATTCCTTTTTAAATGATTTTACTGACTTTTTATCAGACTATGTCTCAAAATATGAACAAGTCATTTTGGGTGATTTTAACATTCACGTCTGCTGTCCATCGAAGCCTTTGGTGGAGGTTTTTTAGACATCTTAGGACTCGTTTGGTCTCCAGCAGCTGGTAAATGACACTACTCATGCTGGTGCCCACACTCTGGACCTGGCTTTAACGTATGGACTGAAAATACAAGAGTTCTCTTTTGAGCCGGTTGGTTTTTCTGACCCTTTCAATAATAGAGCTCAACATCTCTGGGCTGTTACCTCTAGCTAAAAAGGAAGCTCCTAGTTACTCTAGGTACATCTCACCTGCCACAACAACAGAGTTATCATCTGTTTTGAATGAGGAGACTTTCCTCTCCAAAAGCTGTGGTTCCTCAGGAGATGTGAATTTACTGCTAGACTATTAAGAGTACCTGCTCAGCTGCTTTGGACTGGGCAAAAAGGGAGAAAAATCCTATCTGGCCCCTGGCAAAATGATACGACTTGCAGCCTAAGACGTAAATGCAGGGCTCTGGAGCGGAGGTGGAAATAAGATGGTCTGACCATCTCTAAACAGCTTTTTACTGACTCGCTGTCTCAGTACCAGAAAGCAGTTAGACATGCTCAAAATGTGTATTTTGCCAATATCATTGTGCAGCACAAAGGTGATCAGTCAAAACTGTATGATACAGTAAACTCATTACTGCTGATGGCTGCTCCGGACGGCCTGTTGCCCTCAAATTCTTTGTGCTCTGAACTCCAAAGATATTTCCACCAAAAGATTGATGGCATCAGGTTGAGCCTTCTACCTCTGGGGCAAACCCCTTTGGTACAATCATTAACTACACCTCCTCTCAAGAGTATTTAGTTCCATTAGTCTCCTTGAATTGGAAAAAATGATCACAACTGTGAACCCAGCAGGCTCTCCTGATGACCCACTGCCACCTAAACTGATGCAGGACCTTGTTCCTGTCCTTGGACAGGCCATCCTGAACATTGTGAACCCCAGCCTAACCACAGGTGTGTTTCCTATGGCTTTTAAAAGAACAGTTGTCCACCCAGTTTTAAAGAAGCCTGGCCTGGATCACACAGACTTTGCAAACTACTGCCTACTGCATCTAAGGTGTCGTTCCTATCCAAGGTTCTAGAAAAAAACTGTACACTCAGACTGTGGCTCACAGAGTTAAATTCACTGTTAGATGTATTCCTATCGGCTTTCAGACCCCAGCACAGCACCGAATCAGCGTTGATTCATGTACTAAATAACGTCCTAGCTGCGTCTGACTCAGGGTCACATGTGCTCTTGATGCTGTTGGACCTGTCAGCAGCATTAGATACTGTTGATCACAAAACATTGCTGGATCGACTAAAGTCGTGGGTTGGTCTCTCAGACTCTGCGCTGGACTGGTTTAGCTCATACCTGGAAAATGGGTCTTTTAGTTTGCAGCTTAGGGGTTATACCTCACTTTTTCTGCCTGAGAAATGGGGGGCTCCTCAGGGCTCAGTCTTGGGGTCCCTCCTATTTTCCATTTATCTTTTACCTTTGGGTCAGATTTTTTAATACCACGGCATCAGCTACCACATTTATGCTGATGATTGTCAGCTGTACCTGGCCATGAAAGAACAAGATGCAAGCACTTTAGTTTTAAAGTGTCTATCTGAAGCGAAAGAGTGGGTGGCTGCAAACTTCCTACGCTTGAATGCTGCAAAGACGCAGTCAGTACTCTGAGCCAAAGAACCTTTCACGTGCATCATCCACCTTCAGTCTTCCATTTAGTGAACACCGAAAGCGTGTCACTAATCTCGGCATTAAACTAGATGCAGGACTCTCATTGGTGCCGCTGATAAACACAGTTGTTAAGTCATGTTTTTTCCAACTGCAGCGCCTTGTATGCCTCAAACTGGTCCTGAAACGTCCTCATTTTGAGTCTGTGATACACGCTTTTATTACTTCTTGCTGGATTACACAAATTCACTACTTATTGGTGCTCCTGTTTAAGCGTTCAAAATGAATGTCACCTGAAAACACTCATCAGGTGATCTAGGTGGGCTGTCTGCTCAGCTGAAGCAATGCTTAAAAAGCAACTGCAAGCACTTTCAAACAGACTTGAATCTGCACCGAAGGGCCTTGAGTGTCTGTTATTGCTTGTTTTTGTCTTCTTAAACGTTTGCTTTGCACTATCTTCCATTGGGAAAGAGAAGGACACTCATCTGTGAGTAATCCTGTTGTCTAGTAGCTCCGGTTTGGGCCATCTGAAAACAATAAGTGCAAACAGGGGCTGTGAACGAGCTGTTTCTCCCCTCCCTGAAAACACTCATCAGGTGATCTAGGTCTCAATCATTGCAATCAGCTGGTGCATGAACACCTGTTTCCAACTAGTAGCACAGCATAAGTTTGGTGGCATAACTGAAGCATCAGCCCTTGTGCCTCAGCCCCTCCGGTGTAAGACACTCCGGGGTAAAGACATAGGTGTCTACCTGCGCGTGTCCACAGAGCAGGTACACAGAGCAAACAAACTTGACCCACACGCTGCTCCATCGACACCTTGCAAAATGTGCCATTATCCTATACCTGTGATCACTGGCTTCAGAGGAAGATCACACACAGCAAACCACTTTCGCAACCTTCAAAACCTCCGCTCGCTAAAACCAGCTCCCCCGAAGACATCCACCTGTCTATGGGACTGTGGAACTGCCAATCAGCTGGAAACAAAGCAGACTTAATTACCGCATATGCAAACCACCTGTCACTTGATGCACTGGCTGTCACTGAGACCTGGATCAAACCATGTGACAATGCTACCCCATCTGCTCTCTCAGTTAACCACACTTTCTCCCACACTTCACGTGCATCTAGCTGAGGTGGTGGAACGGGCATGTTAATTTCCAATAAACTGATATAGTCAGTTGCTACCCATCACTAAATACAACTCCTTTGAATACCATGCCATCCAGGTAACTGTACCAAAAAAAATCTTTTTGGTTGTCATATATCGTCAACCAGGTCAACTCAGAGACTTTCTTGATGAACTCAACACCTTGCTCTCCTCCATTCCTGAGCACGACTGTCCCACAATGGTCCTTGGAGACATGAATATTCACCTGGACAATCCCAGCTCATCAGGCTTCCTGTCTCTAATGTCATCATTTGATCTAAAACTAGTACAAAGTCCTCCAACTCACAAAGCTAGAAAAGCACTTGACCTCATTTTCACCAGAAACTGTGTCATAGACACAATCTCTGTCACACCCTAACCCTCCCTCCGCCAGTCATTTTGTTCCTTTCTTCTTCCCACCTCATCCGAAATATCTGATATTATCTGTAAATCCAAGCCCACCAACTGCTCTCTCGACCCCCTCCCTACAGTTTTGGTTAAAACACGTCTCACCTCCCTTCTCCCTCTCATAACCACCATAATCCACTCCTCCCTCTCTACCGGTATTGTTCCCTCACTTTTCA